AGAAGGCCGCCCACCAAGAGCCGGGGTCTGTCGGAGGTTTCTTCCGTTAAAGGGAGTTTTTCCTCCCCACTGTCGCCAAGTGCTTGCTCAAGGGGGATTTGTTGGGTTTTCCCTATGTAATAATATTGATAACAGTAAGGTCTAGACCTTACTTTGTAAAGTGTCCTGAGATGACTTTTGTTCTGATTTGGCGCTATACAAATAAAATTTGATTTGATTTGATTTGATAAATTGGAAACAATCTTGTCATTGTGACAATTGGAAAAAAGAAAAAAGTGACTGCACAAGTGGTCACAACAGCCACCTGAAACTACAGAACCTTCCTGGCAAAGCTGACTTTCAGAAAATGAAATTCATTTTTGAAGTGCGACAGCGCAGTTACCACAAACTTACTGTAACTCAGACAAATTTCAGAGGTGGAGGGGGGCAGGGGAAAGCAGGCAGGAGTAAGATGACTGTCTTGGTCTTTAGTTTAAAAAAGCTCCAGTACTCAGGAGCCCTCAGAGCCAGTAGATGGGTAATGGTAAATGGTAATGTTTGAATTAAAAGCAGCAATTGTATATCATCCCTGGCACTTTTCACCCGCTCAAACCGGGCAACTTTTCCATATTGAGTCAAACAATGAAAAAAATGCCACTCTGTTTTTTTCCACCTCTAAATCAAGAGAGCTGATGCCAACATCTGCAGGTTCTCAGGGACTGTTAAAACAAGGGCTGAAATGTCCTAATAACAATTACGCTGTTAGAGGGGCTTAAAGAAGAACATATTTCAAGCCATCCTCTGCTCCGCTGCTGCCCTGCTGCCGAGAAAGCTCTCGGCACAATGACATGTTGAAAATAAGCAGATGTAAAAAATTAAACAAATCCAGAAGGGGAAATAATCTTCAACTGGCTGCTTGGTACTAAAAGATGAAAAATGTGTAGTATATATAAACACCAAACTGAATTTTATCCATGCCAATTAAGGAGTGAGAGAGTGAAGAGTTTGGGGTTGAACCCTCAGCCTCACGTGTGTTTGCCCTTTTCCAGTTTTCTTTTATTTACTTAAAGACACTTTGGTGTAAATGGAAAAGGTGTGGAATGGTAATTCCATTTCACAGATGTAGGTAAACTGTGTGACGCTCAAGCGTCCTCAAGTTATGTACAGTATGTCTTATGAGTGGCCCAGGCCTAGGTATCGATTCTATAATTATGCTCTGCAACTCATTTTCTACCTGTAACATTCTATTTTAAATGGCCCTAAATGTTACCATTGTTTTAAGGCTCTTAATGAACTGTGTGTGATCTGGTTTACTGAAAACAGTTTGCTGGGTGGCTCTGAAATGTACAGTAAATTGAATGGTGAATAATGTAAACATCTGCAACATTATTTGTTAAAATTTTTTAATCAGCATAAGTGACTTGTGGGTTATTTGTACTGTATGAAATGCTGAAACGGTTATTTGAAGATATTTGTCTTTTTTCCGAGTGTGTGCATGTGCCTGCTGTACGTGCTAGTGGGTTTACTGTTGGTATGTGTGTAGGTGGAACGGGGAGGTGTGAGTCTGTATAGTGCACCTGCATGCAATGGTAATGGGTGCTTTTTCCATTGAGGTGGCAGCCGTGGTAGTAGACACTGCAGTCGTCCAGAGGGCTGAAGCGCATGAATCCGTGCTGCAAGGAGTTGTCCCTCTTCTTGTGCATGTTGTAGTGCCTGATTACGTCCTGCTTACTGGTAAACCTCTGCAAAAGAGGAGGGGTGAAATGTACAGCAACAGGTTGGTGTTTATTTAAACCAGTCACAAAATCAGCAACAAGTCACTTTATCTCTGTGGAAGCAGCAGCTGCAGCATACAGGAGCCAATTGGCAGTTGGGGAGGGCTGTACACAGCGCAATGAGAGGACCAGGATGTCTTTAAATATGACACGTTCTGTGGTTATTGATTTACTTTAGAGCACCAAATATTTTGTGACTTTCTGGGTACAAGAGGAGCTTCCAAATGGAACATGAAGTATGCTCCCCATCCACCCCCCATCTCTACAATATGCTTTTTCCTTCTACCAAAATCTAGGTTTTTTAATTAAGATGAATCAATTGATATGCAAGATCACAGTTGTGATGTTTCTGGCTCTGGAAAAAGTATGTTCCATGCAGATGGTCTCTTAGACATGCACAGGGGAAAACAGAAGACAGTAGAAACAAGCAAACAAACAAGCCAACCAAAAAACCTTTCAATTCACTAAGATATGATTCCTTTTTTAATTAAAGCATTAACACTAGCTTTTGGTTCAGGCTTTGCTGTAATGATGACTGAATATGCTAAGAGACATGTCTTCTAAAATTATAACATAAATAAATAAGTAAAAAAAACAACTAACTGCTATCCATGCCCAGGAGTCAGGAAGGAAAACAGTAAAGTCACTGCACAGAGACCTGCAGCAACCAAATCTGGTGTAATTGGGCTTAAGCTGATGTTACAGAAGCTGTAACAGGAGGAGTGCAAATCAATGCGACAATTCTTCAATCCATATTTATCTTCAGTTGAAGGAAAAACATCAAAAAGGACTATTCTAAAAAGCAACTAATTGCTGTACAAAGTAGGGTAATTGCTTTGTGTCATGTGTTCCACTTGCGCACAAGTAAAAAGCTAAGATCTCACACAGCTGTTCATTCCCTTGCTCTTGGCTCGTTTCCCACCGCATGTTTCCGAGACATTTGACTCCTGTAGGAGCAATCACCTCATGAGGATTTTTAATCTAACTGAAGAATGCTTTAGATTCATCACTTTTTAAATAATTTATCTGAAAACTCTTGATCTCAGTTCTGGGCTTTATGGTATCTAACAGTTATGATGACCGGAAGATAAGTAGAACTGCGGTCGTGGTACATTCGATCCATCAAGCCATCCAAAATAGGCAATGGAGAGAGCTGACTGGGAAAAAGATCTCATTTTCAGTTGAGTGGTGATGAAGGTTGGGAGCCACTTGCTACATTTATTTTAGGATTCCCACTGGTGTGGCAAGATGCACACTCTCCCTCATATACAATCCCATGAAAGGAGAATGTTAAGACTCAGCCAATCGCCCGGAGGCTGGCAGCGGGATAATATTCCAGGAGTGTGTGTCATGTAATATTTCATGAGTTATCACTTTGAAAGAGGCTGCTCATCACTGCCTGCCTCTTTTTTCAGGGTATTGACATCCCAAGAGCTGCCTTCCAAAGCATATCTGTGTTTCCATGCACTGCAAAAGCAACGGAGAAATGCAGACCTGACCGTGGAAATTGCCAGGATAACCTGAACTAAATGTCTAAGTAATGACATGAAACGATTTTCCTTTGTATTCCTCCAAGAAAGTGTCTCATCAAACTGTGAAGTAGGATTCATGCAGAAGATGAAAGCTTAGCTATGTAATTCTTTTCACCATATAAGCAATATTTATCGAGTGGTAATCTCTCTTGATCGGGAGCAGACAAAGGAGATTACAGCTGAAGATGGCTTCATTCAGAAATTTGTTAAGAAAGGATAGAAAACACTTGCATCTCTAGCTGCGCATGGATTTTTGACGTCTTTAACAGATCTACCCATGTTTGTCTAACTCTCACAGGCCATATGCTACAGCAAGCACAAGGCCTGTGTTATGATCTGCTTTGTGTTTTTTCTGCTTCCTTTGCCATCCATGACAACTCCTGGGACCAGGACAAGATTAATAATGTGAAAGAGGATTAAAGGCAGGCCCCCAGTCAATGGCAGATGTCTTTAAAAGAAAGGGCGCATAGATAAAAAAAAGAAAAAAAAGAACTGTATTTCAAGCGTATTTACAATTAACCCTTGAGATAAAAGGCCAACTGTCAAAGACCAACTGTGCCTGGAAGACACCTGCAAAAGGAAGGGGCGTAAACAGCCACAGCCTGTTTGGCAGAGCAAAGGCTAACAAACTTTTCATCTGCGTAAACTCTGGCTAGGTGTGACCACTAATGAAAGATGACACGTTATTTTGTTTGTCTATCCTAGGATCGCTAAATCCCATGTCCTGAAAAATAAGAAGATGCTTAGCTCAGAGTCTAACCTATGCTAACCTTGTTATGAATAAATAATGCAACTTAAGTGCTCACTACATGGTTCTCACCAGTGAGGGTGAAACTATTCCACCTGTTTTATTTTTCCCACTGTGTGAAAATTTGAACTGAGAGTTTGCAGAATACTGAGAAAATGTTAAATGTGTATTTGGGTGGTGCTCAAAAAAAGTGATAAAATACTCACGCTCACCTGGTAGTTACACTCAGGGTCCATGCAGTGGTAATGCTCTCTGTACTGGTAGGCGCAGTGCACGTGCCCACAGTGTTGACTTCCAGAGAATCTGAAAACCAAGACACAGGACAACATTTTAACAGCCACACATACAATAGTAGAAATTAAAAGGATCTAATGATAGGTTCAAAAACCTGGGAAAATATCAGAGGTTACTGCACAGAGAAAAGGCTGAATGATAAAGCAACGATGTCAGCAAACCCAAAGTATTATTTGAAATTCCACGAACAGCATAAAATAGAACAGGTGAAGGAGTTTTCAAAGGCATTATGCTCGTCTCACCTTCAAAGTAATACAGCTCACACCTTCAGACTGACTTCTGCTTTCCACACTGCTGCAACAATTTACCCGTCTGTCACAGCAATTTCAGCCAAATTAGCTCCATTTACTTCCAAAGCAGCCGTAAGAGACACTTATTACACTGAAACCCCTTTCCCTTGACACACATACACACACCCACTCAAGGATCAGGAACCCCATGACTACTTTATTTCTCAGTGCTGTGAAAGCCCTTGTCAAATCAATGCACAGTTCTTTCAGGTTAACCACAGTTTCAGGGTCAGGTATCCTGAGATGTAGGGACAACTCTGTCTACTTTTCACCCCAAACCCTTTCACTCTCTCATCTGGAGTCCAAAAACCAGATTTCAGTCTGGCGCTAGTATAATAAAGGCTGCCGTTTGCTACAGTACAGCCACTTTTATGTTGGTGATTATAAGCCTGATGATGATGACTGTTAAAATCCTCCAATTACCAGTGAAAACACACAAATAAACATTTGCACTGCTGCTGCCAAGAGCTCCATCTGCTAGTGCAGAGGAGGGGGGGCAGGGGGCTAAGTAATATTTTTTCCATCTCTCTTTCTGTTTTTTCCTTATTGGGATTATCTCAGTGCTACATTTACAGATCACTTTGCTGAGTTCATTAAGCTAATTGAACGGCATATCCACTACTCTTTTAAAGTTGGCTGTGAGTGTACGTGTGAGTACGTGTGTCTGGAAAATGGTGATGGAGGGGTTCAGGAAGGTCTGACAACTCTTTTAGAAGACAAAACCAGTCAAAATAAGTTGAACTATGTGTATGCATGCAATAAAGTCAACACATGCCCTAATCATTTGTGCTTTCTATACATACACACATTTAGACTTACTGTATGAACATACAAAGCCGACCTCCAGTCCCCTGAGACTATGGCCCACCCCTCTGCTCATTGCCCAGCTGTATCACTTTGCCTCTGGACAATTCCCACTTGCCGCGTCGGGGGGCCTAATGGGCCGCTGCTATTCAGCAGCAGATTAAATATTAATATCGCTACGATACAGAGATTGCAGCGCATCTCCAGTTACAATAGAGATACACAGATCAAAGTGCTGAGGCAATAGTGGGTGCATGAAAGCATTTAAAGAATGAAAAGTGCAACTGCAACACTACCAGGGAAGCTCTTTAAAACATTGAACTTGTAGTCTGGTGAAAGAATAAAGAACTTTTTTCATGACGATTGAGGGCAAACACGTTTACAAATCTGGTTTTTAGAATTAGTGTACACTCATTAGCCCTCGCTCCAAAGAGGACCCTCCCCCGCTTCTCCCTCCCCTCTCGGTGCTACATTTGCCCTTTTTATGAGCCCTCCTTTTCCATTTTTTCCTCCCTCCTCTTCTTTCCTTTCTCTTTTTTTTCTGAACCCCAACACGGAAATTGAAACTGTATCTGAGCTTATCTTCAGCCTCCCCGTGCATCAACTGCCGAGATGTTTAGACAAATTTTATGCATTATGCAGCGCAAATATCAAAACAGTTCTTGGCAGTGCCAGCAGAAGCCTCATTAAAAATTCCTTAATTAAATCTTCTTGCAAAATGTAATCAGTCCAAGGAAAGGGTTTTGTGTGTGTGTGTGTGTGTGTGTGGGGAGAAGAGGGCGTGTGTGTGT